TAACATATATAGGCTGCAGAGATTTTAATATTGATGTTAAGAATTCAAATAGGTATGGTCAAAGACAGTGAAAAGGGCGCCACTTACTTTGTTTATGAGAGTGGTAAAGTAAGAAACCAAAAAGAAAAATACGATATCACAACATAGCTAAAATAAAGTAATCAACAGCATTAAGGGTTTATTATGTTTATCAGGAATAAAAGTCAGAAATAGCTATCCTACATTAAACATTTATTGAAAACGAACACAAGTATCATCAATTAGTCACACTGATCCCAATAAAACCGCAAGTTATTTTAAATAGATTCGAATTTAGTAACTGTATTCTTTGAACTAAGTAAGCTACTTAATATAAAACCAGGTGAAATTTATGTATGTCTCAATACGATGATGTTTCGAAACATGTCGTGTACAAAAACCTTTAAAATGAATATGTGTTAATAATTTTCATATAAAATATCATAGCTAAGTAAGAGTGTACTGTACGAATCAAATTATAACTTATAACGTTAAATAAAAAATAATTTTGACTACAATATGTGGGATAAATAGTGATAATTTACCAGATTATTAAATCTGTTGTCTCAAAAATTATAAAAATAAAAGCGTACCTTGTGTATCAAACTTAAGAGAGACTTATCTGTATATAGTTTCTTATGATGTAAACAGGTAGTTAGGTATTCTCCAGACTAACAGAAGTGGATGCAGATGACTATGGCAGGAGAAGTCTTCGATATCAGGCAAAAGAACGATTGTAATGTCAGGAACACTGTCTTAAGGTCTGCATAGGTCCACACAAAATGAAAGTGGGTGAAACATACAATAATTACTGCATTATAACTGCATACCATGTGGTAATTACTGAGTACCAGGTGGTAGTTACTGAGTACCATGTGGTAGTTACTGAGTACCATGTGGTAGTTACTGAGTACCATGTGGTAGTTACTCTATAAATAAAAAGTAGTTCTCAGGACAGATACTCAATAAAAAAAACAACTTACGGTCTGAAAATCAGCTTTACATAAATATATTCAAACCATATGCCGATCCAAACCAGTAATTAAATACTCAAATAAACGAAATAAAAAACGGGAATAACTGAAATAGAATTTAGTTAGATAGGGCTATATAAAATGGCGGATAAACTTACGGTGGTCATTCCAAGAAGAAACCAAACAAATACGATCTATACTCTGGATTGCATACTTTACAAGGTTTTCAAATCTCCAAATCGGATACCCATGCAATGGAAATCGAAAAGTGGATTCAGAGTACTTTTCACTGAAAATTTGTCGGACGCCGAAACACGCGTCTTCTTCAGATCCAAATTCTCAGAAAGAAAAAAGACCTTCTTCTCCGTTTCAGAACCGAACTGTCATAAATGAAGTTTGATATCTAGCGAATAGATGCGCTAATAAAAATTAAATATCGGGACAAGTGAAATGCAATTAAGGAAGTTTGGCATATAGCGAATAGATGGCGCTAATAAACAAGACAAGTGAACTGTAATAAATGAAGTTTGATATCTTTGGCATCTAGCAAATAGATGGCGCCAATACTAAGAAATTTAAATAAAAATAGATTTTTAAATTCAATTTTATTAAAGGAAATAAAAAATGCTACAAGGGATGTATAGATAATGTTTACGTGAGGATCGTGGTAGGATATAATGTAATTTTGGAATTTTTCTAGTTCTACCGATTTTAATTTTATAAAATAGTTGCTGGTTGATTTTTTCTACGATAATTTTTATATAAAATATTAGAGAAACTAAATTTTTATTTTACAGTTCTTTTATTATTACTATACTGAATAAAGAAAATAAACATATCATCTAAATAAAGTTGGTGTTCGAGTAAATATACAGGGTGAGTCTTAAATAAGTAAAAAACGGGCACCTAAAAATTTTCATGTATTTTAAAGTTTTATATATTGTGTTCCAGTGGGCCGATTTTGATGATTTTCTAAGTAATTTTTAGCTAAATTATTTGACTTTTTAATATCTCTTTCTGAATTAAAAATAAAAGTTGCCGTTTATACGAGGGAAAACAAAATGTTGATATTTTAGTGAAAGTTTAATACACCCTATGGAGTATGCTAAGGAAGCAAGGAATTAAAAAGTCATTTTATTATCTAGATGTATCATTTCTCGATAGTTTGTTTTTGGGTTCATCTCAATAGCTATATTTTTTTTGGAGATATTCGCATTTGAAGAAGACACTAACATTCTTTTCGCATTTTTTCAATTAAAATCATACCTTTGCTTTTGGTCCTAGTCAACAGACCTCTAAAATAGTGTTTCTGATTTATGTAATATCTATCTTTAAAAAAATCATATTATTATTGTCTCTTGGGCAGTTACTCTAGCAGAGATGGTTCAAATCCAAAACTTGATCTCTCTCTACCATGATCAGTTAAAGCAGTAATAGCCGATTCTCCAGAACTTAAAACCATTACCAGAGCAAACGTCAATAAACAATAATAATATTACTTTTCAACACACAGTGGCATTACAAAATAAACACTATTTTTTAAGTGTGTTTATGACGATCCAAAATCAAATTTCAATGCTAAAATTGCTGTAAATCTTTACTGTCTTATTGAAAAGCGAATATCCCCAATAAAAATAGAGCTATTGAGATGAATTAAAAGCCAAATTATCGAGAGAAGACGTACCTATTATCCATAAATTATTTGCTTTGTTCATATATTCCACAGGGTGTTTTAAACTCTCCAAAAAAATCCTATATGGGTATGCTAGAAAACCTACAAAATAAAATAGTTATTTTTTGTAGACACTGCTGCGTTAATCCAGCGGAGACTAATTGTCAGCAGTTAGGATTACTGATAAACAAATTTGCCTAACGAACAAAAAAAGGATTGATTAACGTTTCGGAAAGTTTATAAAGACAAAAACTATTTAAAATATTTAAATGCAACTATTCGAGAAGATATTCTATTATTTTTTTATTTTTAGGGTGTTTTAAAGTTTCACCAAAATATCAACATTTTATTTCCCCTCGTGTAATTGACAGACGGGAACTTTCATTTTTAATTTAGAAAGAGATACTAAAAAGTCAAATAATTTAGCTACAAATTGCTTAAAAATCATCAAAATCGGGCCACTAGAACTAAATATATTCAATTTTAAAATATATCAACATTTTAAAGTGCCCATTTTTCGTCCCGATGAGTGTATTTTCAGAGATGGTTGATCTCAATTAAAAGGAAGTATTTTCTCTTTACCATTTTTCAAGTCCAAAATATCCTGAGTTATTAAATTTACTTCGAAAATTAAAAAAAAGATATTTTTCGGTAAAATTTTTAGAACCACTGGATTGTTTTTTGGTTTTCGTTTCATTAAATTTAGTCGACTACGTACATATACAGGGTGTCCCAGGCTGAGCGTGCATTAGAAGTTTGTAGAGAACCATAACATCTAGATCGGAGATTTTTTGCACATTACTGTTTCACAACGAGATCTATCGATTAAAAATATTTTCAATATGGCGGCACTTCCGGAAATACCGGAAGTTGACAGCAACTTTCTTATTTTAAATGGGTACACCCATTTTTTATTACATACTTAAATTCTCTGTAAAATTTTGTGAATTTTAATCTCAAACACTCTACACCTAACATTAACCATTTTTGAGAAAAAAAAAATTTAATATTTTTGGAGGAAAAAAACTGCCTGTCAAAAAAATTTTATAGCCTAAGCGTCAAATTTAGAGATTACCACAGCCACTGGGACATAAAGAGAAGACATGTGGCTATCTATTTCAAAAATTAAAATGTTCGAATGTCATATAGTATTAGCCGTAGCTGTCATAAAATTGAACGATTAAAAAATTATCATAAATCATTTTTTTAAATGGAAACCCACTTTTTTATTTCACTAGTGAAAAGGTTTTTTAATTCGTTACTTGTTGATTGATTATACATGTTCCTATACCTAAAATAGATGGTTTTTAAGTTATTTAAGATTTAGTTTTAAAGCGTAATTTTTTCGTGATTTTAGCTAGCTTCCTTTGACATTAAGTGTCAAACTATCAGACAATTTATTTCCTTCTGTCAAAAAACTAATTATTTGAATTTCGTATAGTATTATAAACACTACTAGTAAAACTTTATAAAGTGTATTTATAAAAATATAACTCGTATTTTAGTGATAGCTAGTGGCAATATGACATGGCCAGATATAGTTTTACATCGCTTGACGTTTAAATGCCTAGGCTACTGGTTAAAAAAAAACAAAAAAATATACCCTTTAAAACTAAATCTTAAATAACTTAAAAACTAGATGCTGCGTAGTTTAGCATTAAGGGCAAGAAGGGTAAATTACGTGTCACATTTTAGACATATGTGTTAGAATATTGCTGGAAAATGGCAGTCTTTTGACTGACATTAATTATATTCATTTATTCATTAAAATACTTTGTTGTTGTAGCTTATCCTATATTTTAATTTTAGAAATATTATTGAATTTCATATATATTATAGATAATATAATCCTTGACATATTTCATTTATAAGTAATATACACCATAGATAAACAAAACAACCATTTATTAACTCACACTTATTTGTTTTTTTTACGAATAACGTCAAACAGGTACTCACAAATTTTTATTCAATAGAAAATATTCGAGAAAATGAGTTGCTCCCAGCGGATATGGAAGGGTATATTTCTTGTGTTCTTATATATTAATCTTCATCAGTGTTAAAAATAAATCACTTTTAACACAGACATAATTTAGTTATAATGAAGAGATATGCTAACCATACAAACTTACTATACGTTCAAAACATAAACACAACATACAAACAAACGACTCGAATAAGCGCAAATCCAGTCGATGGGTCAGCATAACTCAGACCGCCTGCCTCATCCGAAAACCTCTCTTTTTTCCCGCACAAAACCAGCGTTCCTGGTGCGTTCAAATCGCAGGCGCTCGCGAACCGTTTTCGTTCCTCAGCAGCCGCAGCAGGAACTGGTCCTGTCCGCTCTGCCTCTCTGCACTGCTCTTGCTGCGGTTCAGTTATCGTTCGACGGCCGAGCAAAGAGCATGTTCTGACAGCGAGTCCCGCCAACCGCTTGTCACGGCTTCTGTTCTCCCAATTCCCACGACGAACGATGAAAGAAGGTCAGTATGAAAGGGCGATATTTTGCGAATTTTCGGGTTATGGGGTTGCTCGGAGGGGTGTTTATAGTTGTTGGTTAGGGAAGGGAATGTAAAGATAATGTTTACGTGAGGCTCGTGGTAGAATATAATGTAATTTTGAAATTTTTCTAGTTCTACTGATTTTAATTTTATAAAAAAGTTGCTGTTTGATTTTTTCTACGGTAATTTTTATATAAAATATTAGAGAAACTAAATTTTTATTTTACAGTTCTTTTATTATTACTATACTGAATAAAGAAAATAAACATTTCATCTAAATAAAATTGGTGTTGGAGTAAATATACAGGGTGAGTCTTAAATAAGTGCATAAAGCACGAAAAACGGGCACCTTAAAATTTTTATGTATTTTAAAGTTTTATATATTGTTTTGTATATATGATTTTTAAGCAATTTGTGGCTAAATTATTTGACTTTTTTATATCTTTTTCTAAATTAAAAATTAAAGTTGCAATCTGTCAATTATGCGAGGGAAAACAAAATGTTGATATTTTGGTGAAAGTTTAATACACCCTATGAAGTATGTTAACAAAGAAGGAATTCAAAAATCATTTTATTATCTAGATGTATCTTTTCTCGATTTTTTTTGGTTCATCTTAATCGCTATATTTTTTTTGGAGATATTCGCTTTTGAAGAAGACACTAACTTTTTTTCGTATTTTTACAGTAAAACCATACCTTTGCTTTTGGTCCTAGTCAAGAGACCTATAAAATAGTGTTTATGATTTATGTAATATCTGTTTTTAAAAGATTAAATTATTATTGTTTGTTGGGTAGTTACTCTAGCAGAGATGGTTTTAAGTCAAAAAGTTGATATCTCTTTACCTTGATCAATTAAATCAGTCGATACTTGAGAATTTAAAACCATTACTAAAGTAAATGTCAATAAACAATAATAATATGACTTTTTAATGACAGCGGCATTACAAAATAAACACAATTTTATAATTGTGTTGATTAGGACCCAAACTCAAAGGCATGGTTTCAATGATAAAATTGCTGTAAATCGTTACTCTCTTATTCAAAAGCAAAAATCTCCAATAAAAATAAAGCTATTGAGATTAATTTAAAACCAAATTATCGAGAGAAGACGTGCCTACATTTTTAAATTCTTTGCTTTGTTAATATATTCCACAGAATGTTTTGAATTTTCACGAAAATATCAACATTTTGTTTTCTCTCGTGTAATTGACAGACGGAAACTTTCATTTTTAATTTAGAAAGAGATACTAAAAAGTCAAATAGTTTAGTTACAACTTGTTTAAAAATCATGAAAATCGGCCCACTAGAAATATACAGGGTGGCGCACCTCATTCGCCTTGGTTGATTATACGAAAACGGAAAGATGTAGAAACAAAATATTTTATGGGTATATACGGGGAGGCAATGTGCACAATCTGAAATTATTTTGAAATGTACAGGGTGTTTCAGAACTAAGATCCATACCAAAGTTATATTTTCTCTTATGGAACACCTGGTATTTTATTTCATAATTTGTATTCTTCGGCCTAAAAAAAGGCATTTATTACAAGGGTTACATATGTTTAAAATCTTCGGTTTTAGAGATATTTAAAGAAATTTAAATTTGCATGCTACAATAGAATAGATTATTAACACCCTGGACATTACTTTTCAGAATTAATTTTTGTGCTTAGTTTAAAGATAAAGAAATAAACTTTATTGAAAAATGGTATTGCTTCCTTAAATTTATACAGGGGTATCAAAAATTGCTGATTTATTTTAAGGATTTATTTTATATAAAAACTTCTTTATTCCAAATGGAACACCCTATATTTTTTAAAATAAACCGAAGCAGATTCAAATGCTCTTTCAAACTATATTAGGGTGTCCTATACCTATCTAGTTCAGATTTTGAATAAAAAGGGATTTTTAGATAAAATTGTAATCAAGACGGCTGGTGTCGCCATGGCAATTTTCTACTGACAGTTAGTAATTATTTTCAAAGTCGACATTAGTTTATCGACGATATTGTTTATAATTTACTTAGATTTACCTACAATAGTTTAATAAGTAAGCATTTATTATTTTATCAAGAAAAATAAAGCAGTATCTGCTGGCGGAACGAATGAAGATATGTTACTAGTGATTTTATTTTGTGAGGAAAATTTCTTCTTGGCCCTTGGCATCAAGAGCTTATGCTCAAAGATATCCAAATAGGAATCTTTCTGATAAGCGTTCCTTTGAAAAACTACTTGTCCTATTTCGCAGAGCTGGTAATGCGGTTTATAAAAAAACTATTAGGCAGAAACCTGTCGTTGGAAGTGAAGAAAATGAATTTGCCACAATTGGCTCTTTTATAGAAAATCCATATATCTACAAGTCATCGTAAAATAAATCAAAGAACTACATCTTAGTTTTTCTTGATAGAATAATAAATACATATTTAATAAATATTATATGTTAAACTATTGTAGGCGTAAATTAAATAAAAGTAAACTGGTATAAATTTAAATAAGTCCATAAACTAATTTTGAAAATAGCTACTAACTGTCACTAGAAACTTGCCATGATGACACTAGCCCTCTTGGTTGATATTTTATTGAAAAATTGCTCTTTATTCAAAATCTGTGCTAGATAGGTATAGGAAACCCTAACATAGTTTGAAAGAGCATTTGAATTTGCTTCGATTTATTATAAAAAATACAGGATGTTGTATTTGAAATAACGAAGTTTTTATGTGAAATAAATCCTGAAAATAAATCAGCAATTTTTGATACCCCTGTATAAATTTAAGGCAGCAGTACCATTTTCCAATAAAGCTTATTTCTTTACCTTTAAACTCGGTACAAGAATTAATTCTGAAAAGTAATGTACGAGGTGTTAATAATCTATTCTACTGTAGCATGCAAATTTAAATTCCTTTAAATATCTCAAAAACCAAAGATTTTAAACATATGTAACATAATAAATGCTTTTTTTGAGCCCAGGAATCCAAAAAATGAGATAAAATACCGGGTGTTCCGTAAGAAAAAATATAACTTTGGTAGGGATCTTAGTTCTGAAACACCCTGTATATTTCAAAATAATTTTAAATTGTGCAGATTGCCTCCCCACATATACCCATAAGATATTTTGTTTCTACATCTTTCCCTTTTCGTATAATCAACCGAGGCGAATGAGGTGCGCCGCCCTGTATAATAACTTATATAAAACTTGTAGAAAATACATCAAAATTTTAAAGTGCCCGCTTTTTTGTACCGGTGAGTGTATTTTCAGGGATGGTTTTTCTCGATTAAAAGGATCATTACTATTTTTTAAGTCCAAAATATCTGAGTCTGTTTTTTTTTAAATTTACTTTTAAAATAAAATTTTTTTTTTTTGTAAAATCGTTCGTTTCTTTAAATTTAAGCGACTACGTATATACTGCCATATTCTCAAAATATCATGTTTGTAACTGAAAATTGAAAAAAAAAATTCGAAGAATTTAAAAATTCATTTTTTTTTGGAAAAAAAAATATCCTCATAGATATGTTCTTGGGATCGAAATATACCACCCCTAAAATCATGTGCATTTACTTAAGGCTCACACTGTATATTCCTTGAAAAAAAAACCCTGGTTATTTCATCATTGAAAGAGAAATTTAAAAAATAAAAAAGTTATATAAAATTCTGGTTAATTTTATATTTTTTGTCTAACTTTTGCTTATCTACTTCGGTGAGCCTAAAAAGGAAATATGATATCAACCAACATTATTGATTATAAATAAGGGTTGAAAGTTGTTTGAATAAGGGTGATATTTAAATGAACTCCACGATTGGATGCTGCGTAGTTTAGCATTAAGGGTAAGAAGGGTAAATTACGTGTCACATTTTAGGCGTATGTGTTAGAATATTGCTGGAAAATGGCAATATTTTGACTGACATTAATTATATTCATTTATTCATTAAAATACTTTATGTTGAAGCTTCTTATCCTATATTTTAATTTCAGAAATATTATTGAAATTTATTTATAAAGTCTTGACATATCCGAAAGTAATATTCACCGTAGATAAAAGAAAATAACCATCTATTAACTCACACTTATTTGTTTTTTTGACGAATAATGTCAAATAGGTACTCACAAATTTTTACCTAGTAGAAAATATTCGAGAAAATGTGTTGCTCCTAGAAGGTGCCAATAAAACTAAAAAAATTTGAGTAATTGTCTAATAACTCAAAGCAAAAGCACGAGTTTTCATACATATTTCTTGTGTTTTATACACGGTTTTATATTTATTCTTCATCAGTGTTAAAAATAAATCAATTTTAACAAGTGCTAAGGTGTAAGAACATTACTTTTAACACAGACATAATTTAGTTACAATGAAGAGATATACTGTGAAATACTCGGTGGTTAAGTGGAAATCAAACTTTATATATATTTTAATAATACTATATTTTAATAATGTTTAAAATAGCCAGTATAAACTCTACAATGAAACTATTTTCTGCAAAATAATTTATATAATCGATATCTAGATTCCCAAAATTCATTTTTATTATTTTTGACAGGTAATCTAGATAAAAAATCTGCCGAATTATTTTCGGATTTAACGTACTATATTTTATATCTATAATTAGATAAAATAACGGCCCAACGTCTTAAACGATTTGCAGAAAATTGAGGAATACCTTTTTGAGGATTAAAAATTGCAACTAACGGTTTATTATCACATACTAAAATAAATTCGCGTTCATATAAATACTGGTTAAACTTACATAACCCAAATACTATTGCGAGACCCTCCCTTTCTACTTGACCATAGTTTTGTTCTGCAACAGTTAATATCTGGGATGCATACGCAATTGGACGTTCTTTTCCATCGGGTAGTATATGAGAAAGAACACATCCAACTCCGCAAGGACTTGCATCTGTACTTAATTTTAATTCGTATTCAGGATTGTAATGAATCAAAACTTTAGCGGACGTTAAAATGTCTTTAACCTTCTCAAAAGCTTCT